TGTGTGTGTGTGTGTGTGTGCATGCATGTATGTCTCTGTGTGTGTGTGCGTCTTGGCAATTAAATCAACAGTTTATTATGTGAACTTCTAGAAAGATCAGAGATGAGATCCTTCATTACTGAAAGCCTTCCATTAAAAAGATGATAGGGGCCTCTATACTGATGATTGTCCAACTAACCTATGGACTTAGTTCTCAGTTTTCACAGACTTAAGTAGTCAGTAACAAAAAACCTCAGGAGCTACAAGTTTCTCTCTCTCTCTCTCTTTCTCTCTCCCTCCCTCCCTCTCTCACGTACCAGAATGTTCTGGGAACCTGACAAAGTTTTTGAAGACTGATTTTTCTGACAACTTCATGATCCCTGAAAAGCTGAACTGTTTACACTTTCCAAAGACTCAGATCTAGTTTGATTCAATCTGAACTAAAAATCTTCTATCAGTCCAGTTCAGTGAGCAATGCAATTTTGTCAACAAGTAAACTCGATGAAAGTAAGGTGTAATCAATTTGTATAATTTATTTTCAGACCCTTAGCCCACAGGGATGTTTTTGCTTTTGCCCCCTTTTCTAAAATATCATTTCTGCAGAGTCTGATGTCATTTGTGAGTGTGTCTCTGATTGTGATTAAAGAGTTTATAAATTCCAGATTATAAATTCATAGAATCATGGAATCTCTACAGTGCAAAAGGAGGTCATTTGGCCCATTGAGTCTACTCTGAAGAGCATCCTACACAGATCCAGCCCCACACTTACCATGACTAATCCACCTAGCCGACACATTCCTGAACACTATAGGCAATTTTGATTTTAAGCACAGCCAAACCACCTAACCAGCACATCTTTGGACTGTGGGAAGAAACCCACACAGACACAGGGAGAATGTGCAAACTCCATGCAGACAGGCACCCAAGGCTGGAATCAAACCTGAGTCTCTGGCACTGTGAGCCACTGTGCTATCCCATTATAGAATCCCTACACTGTGGGAACAGGCCCTTCGGCTCAACAAGTCCACACCAAACCTCAGAGCATCCCACCCAGAACCATTCCCCCTATAAACCCACCTAATCTACACATCCCTGAACATTATGGGCAATTTAGCATGGCCAGTCCACCTGGCCTGCACATCTTTGGACTGTGGGAGGAAACTGGAGCACCTGGAGGAAACCCACACAGACACGGGGAGAATGTGCAAACTCCACACAGACAGTCGCCTGAGGGTGGAATCAAACTGGGTCCCTGGTGCAGTGAAGCAACCACTGTGCCACCCCTATAGCTTGGATATTAACCATTATTTGCCAATTGTTTATAGATTTGCATTTTGTTTCATAATAAATTAATTATTTCTTTGTGATCATTAAAGAAACCAAGTGAAAGTCTTTTTGATTGCAGTCAGGAGTACAAAAGGGGGATCGATTGGCTATTTTGGTAACTGAAACAAGATATCAATGTTAGTGGTGCAGCTGGTGGAGTTGTGGGGTTTTATTACCAGTGCATTCCTCCCATCCCAGTCATGACAACAGCCACTCAAACAAGTTGAGAAAATTCAAAATGCCTATGGGATACTGGGCTCTATAAGCAATGACATATATTGAATACGACACCCGAAAAGAATGATTGGTTAGACGATTGGTAGACTATTACGTCCAGTTTTGTGCCCATCTTTTTAGGGCAAATATCAAGGCCACAGGGAAGGATCAGAAGAAATTCATCAAAATGACAACGACTATGAAAGGATTTAGTTCTGAAGTAAAACAACTAAAAACCAAAGATTAGGACAGAAAAAGGAATAACTGGGGATATTGCAAATTTTGAGAGGTTTAAGTAAGATAAATCAGGAAAAGCAATACATTGCCAAAAAGGTATGAGTGTGTGATTACAGTGTGACATGCTTATATTGAAATTTCCCATTGTACAGAAATTATACATTATTTTGATTACATGTTTATAACAGAAACATTAAAATAGATGTGCCTCTACGATGCGACAATGGAACTCAAAGTCCTTTAGATAGGCAATGGACATAGGTACAATATTTCTCAGATCAATGTTTCCCATTCCGTTATATTGCATCTAGGGAGAGTTACATTCAGACAGTACCACATCATAGAAAGTCAAAAAATGTTTCACACAAAATAAAATTCTTTAGCTACTTTTCAAAACTTCATTCACAGGATGAGGGCATCATTGACTAGGCCAGTATTTATTGCAAATTCGTAAGTGCCCAGAAGGCAGTTAGGAGCAAATTTCCATTGCTGTGGTAAGGATGGCAGTTTCCTTCCCTAAAGGACATTAATGAACCAGATGGGTTTTTCCCCAACCATCGGCAATGGATTCACAGACATCATTAAATTCTTAATTCCAGATTTTTAATGAATTTAAAGTTCCACCATCTGCCACAACAGGATTTTAACCCAGGTCCACAGAACATTACTTAGGTTTCTGGGTTAACAGTCTAGCAAAAATACCACTAAGCCATCACCTCCAGCACTGCTGGTGATTAGGTAATTTCAGCAATTACTTTTCACACAGCAAGTTCCCATAAATGGCAATAAGATTAAGGATCAGTGAATTTACGTTATAGGTGCTGTCTGTTAATGAGTAATTTCAGTTTGGCCCATTCTATGCGTCATCTGGAATGAGACCCTCAGCATTCACTTGAATCATCGAAACAGACAGATGGGACCCCAGTTTAGCATCTTATCAAAAGTATGTCAACTCCAACAATGTGGCACTGAACAGAAGGGAAATGTAGCAATACTCAGGAACTTAATATGAAGATGATTGTGATTTAGAGATATGGAAAAGATAGAAAGTTAACATTCTTTCAAATGAACTGTAAGTTGTGTGAATATAGTCAAGTCAATGACATAACTGTCGTCAGATAAATACCATTAAGCAGGTGGATATCAAGAACCATCTGTCCTCGCCTGCGGTTGGCGGTCCATTCCAGCTGGGTTGGAGGGTAGGCCCTGCCTTGGTTCTGTTGCATGGCGCTGAGGGCTTTATGTTGACACAAGGCCCTATATTCTTCCATGGTGTGGTCAGACACATACCTGCATGAGCACAGGGCACAGTTCTCTGCTTTATCCTATTGATAACATTAATTTTACGGCAAACAACATGCACAATCAGACAGCTATCATACTTTCTCTTAGGAATTTAAGGAATAATAATAATAGGGAATGAAGCAATTTCCATGTAAGTAATTTCAAGCTCTCCTAGGACAGGTACAACATGGGATTAGATACAAAACAAAGCTACCTGAACTGGAGGGGGAACCAATATTCTGGCAGGAAGATTTGTTAGATCTACTCGAGAGAGTTTAAACTAGACTGGCAGTAGTGATACAAGAGAGCAGGTTAAGGCTTAAAGAGAGCAAGTTAAATAGACAAGGCAGGCAAGAGCATGGCAGGGTCCAAGGTAAGACTGATGAATTAAACTGCATTTATTTCAATGCAAGAGGCCTGACGGGTAAGGCAGATGAACTCAGGGCATGGATGGGAACATGGGACTGGGATATCACAGCTATTACAGAAACTTGGCTGAGGGAGGGACAGGACTTGCAGCTCAATATTCTGGGGTACAGATGCTATAGGAAGGATAGAAGAGGAGGCAAGAGAGGAGGAGGAATGGTGTTTCTGATTAGGGAAAACATCACAGCAGTACTTAGAGAGGGTGTTCCTGAGGGGTCGTCCAGTAAAGCTACATAAGTGGAACAGAGAAATAAGAAGGTAGTGATGACTTTGGTGGGATTGGACTATAGGTCTTCCAATAGTCACTGGAAAATTGAGGAGCAAATATGTAGGAAGATCACGGATACCTGTAAGATTAATAGGGTTGTAAATGATAGAGGAAATGGTAAAGGTGCGTACAATTACAATATTTAAAAGACATTTGGACAGGTGCATGAATAGGAAATGTTTGGAGGGATATGGGCCAAATGCAGGAAAATGGGACTAGTTCAGTTTAGGAAACCTGGTTGACATGCACTACTTGGGTCAAATGGTCTATTTCCGTGCTGTAAGACTCTATGGCTCTACCTCTACACTGTCCCTATCAAACACTCCCAGGATAAGGACAGCATAGGCTTAGACACTGAGTAAAGATTCCTCTACATAGTTCAAAACAAACACTCCCAGGACTGGTACAGCAGTGGCTTAGATTCAGAATAAAGCTCCCTTTACACTGTACCCATCAAATATTCCCAGGACAGGGACAGCATGAGATTAGATACAGAGTAAAGCTCTCTCTACACAGTCTCTATCAAACACTCCCAAGACAGCGACTGCTCAGAGTTACATACAGAATAAAGCTTTCTCTACATTTTCATTTTTATGTACACCCAGGGCGTTATAGGTCAGATGTAGTATATTGTGGAGCTCACTCCATTTAACACCATTTCCATTGAACCTGGAAGTGTTAGGGAAGTATTTTCTTCCAAATGCTGATGATTTAAACAGTTGTTTTCTAAATCTCACCCCTCCACCTAAAGGGAGATCCTTCCTCCACAGATACATTATTCACAGCGATCATCACAAAGTGACAGAATGGGCCATCAACAATGCTAACAAGTGGCTCTGTTAGCTTGGGTTCTGCGAGGCTGGGAATTCTTTGATGAACGACTCACTTCCTAACTTCCCTAATCTTGACAACCATCGACATAGCACAAGTCAAGTGTGTGATGGAATACTCCCTACTTGCCTTGATGAGGCAACTCCAACATCATTCAAAAAGATTGACACCATCCAGGACAAAGCAGCCCACTTGATTGGCACAACATTCACTACCTTAGACATTCACTTCCTTCCCCATCATCTCCAAGATGGATTGCAGTAACTCACCAAGTCTTTTCTGACCAAACCTTGTGACTTCTATCACCTATATGGACAAGGGCAGCAGATACATTGGAGCACCACAATCTACAAGTTCCCCTTCACGCTCCACACCACCTTGACTTGGAAATATATTGTCATTCATCTTCCCTTGCTGGGTCCTTTCCTAAGAGCACTGAGGGTGTACTGTGCCAGCTGAATTGCAGCTGCCCAAGAAGGAAGTTCACCACAATTTCTCCAAGACAATTAGGGGTGGACAATAGAGACATCCAGTGACACCTATATTTGATTAAATAATTAAAACCAAAGATGGCAATCATACAATCCCTACAGTGCAAAAGAGGCCATTTGGCCCATTAAGTCCGCACCAACCCTCGAAAGAGCATCCCACCCAGAAACTATGGGCAATTTAGTATAGCCAATCCACCTAACTCGAATAACTTTGGACTGTGGGAGGAAACCCACGCAGACACAAGGAGAATGTGCAAACTCCACACAGACAGTCGCCTGAAGCTGGAATTGAATCCGAGTCCCTGGCACAGGGAGGCAGCAGTGCTAATCACTGATCCACCATTTCTTTCTTTTAGTGTCAGAGCACTGTTTGAATTGAGCCCCTACTGGGACAGTTAAGTTGGCATAATCCTGCAACTGACCCTGGAATCTTCCAGCTCTGTGTGGTTTAAAATATTAGATCATTTGTTTATAGGGATGCTGTAAAAGGAAGATGGATGAATACCTGAGGAAGAATGGAATAGAAGGATGGTCACATTGGGTTAGATGAGCCGACATAAGGCCATAAGACGTATAAGAAGTAGACCATTCAGCCCCATCGATGCTGCTCTGCCATTCAATGAGGTCATGGCTGATCTGATAATCCTCAACTTCACTATCTTGCCTTTTATCCATAACCCTCAGTTCACTTACTGATTAAAAATCTGTCTATCTCTATAAACGTATGATCCAGCCTCAATAACCCTCTGCGATAAAGAATTCCACAGCTTCACTATTCTCTGAGGGAAGAAATTCCTCCTCATCTCTGTCTTAAATGTGCCAGGTTCTGAGATTATGTCCTCTGGTTCTAGAGTCTCCTATTAGAGAAAACAACCTGTCAAGACCTCTAAGAACCTTGTAGGCTTCAAGAGGTTGCCTGTCATTCTTCAAAATTCCAAGGAGTCAATCTACTCAACCCCTCGTTATAATGCAGCCTCTTCATACCCGGTATCAGCCCTGTGAACTTTCCCGGGACTGACTCCGATGCCAGTACATCTTTCCTCAGATAATAGGCCCAAAATTGTTCACAGTATTCCAGCTGTTGACTGACTAGTGCCTTGTGCAGTCTTAGCAAAACCTGCCAATTTTTATACTTCATTCCCTTTGAAATAAAGGCCAACATTCCATATTCCTTCCCTATTACCTCTCCTCCTGATCTTGGTGGATCTGGTTGGTATGGAGCATAGACTATTTTGATATTATAAATACTATATTTTTCTATGGTGTAAAACGTAGACATTGTTCAATCCTGTCTCATGACTATACTGGACAGAGTTGGCTAACTATTGAGTCACTGTAACTTTGGTACCTGAGATGAAAACTCATAATTCAGGTTCATTTTTCACGATAGCCTCTGGCACTCCCTCCCAGCCCAAACAAACTTGTAAGATTCGCTCACTTGAGTAGAGGTTTCTCGAGCTCGGGGGAGGGTCGTAAGCAGCTCAGGCAGGTGGTCATCAACAAGCAAGCTCGCTGCCAATTCTCCATGTCTGGATTCTTCCAGGTCTGGTTCACCACCTGGCAAAAGATCTCATTCCGGAGTGTGGGATTTGATATTCCTTTCTGTGCAATAAAATTGCCAAGGATGATCTCCTTTCTGCCATTGAGCAACTCATCATGCAGAAAACGCAGAACCTAGCAAAGAAAAAGCAAAACTTCACCTCTGTGCCCAGTGTGGTGACATTGGACTAATACTCAGATCCTTACAGGCAGAGCAACAGCATTACAGACTGAGTCCATCTCATACAGTCAGACAAAGAAATACACCCACAGGGACAGTTAGACCATGAGAGACAACAGAGTGGCACTATTACAAATTCAGACAGTTGCAGAGATAAACCACTGTAGACAAAGTCAGAACACTGTTAATTTGGTTAGGGTCAGACCATTATACATGGCTTCAGAACCGTTGCTGACAGTGTTGCACCGTTACAAGAAAAGTGGAGCAATAGTCCCACAGGAAAACACAATAAAACCCAGAACATACAGAGGGAGATGCACTGCTACAAACAGTGAAAGGCAGAATGTTAAAAACAACAGTGCAACTTTCTTACAAACAGAAGAAAACAATACAGAATCAAGACTATAAATAAACACTGACTGTTGTTTGAGGTTGTCATGCTCTACAACGCTAACCAACGAAATTCCGTTGATCTCAATTTTTAAGATTTCAATTGGTTTACAGCACTGTTTAAAGTCAGAGTCTCAGATTTCTCACTGTGTTAAGAGGTGCCACCTAAAATCACTCCTGAACAGGCTGACCCTAATTCTAATAGCCCCTGACTTGGACATCCCCAAAAGATGGCCTAGTGATATTATCGTTGGCCTGTTAATCCAGAGACCCAGATAACATCCTGAGGACTTGGGGTTTGAATCCTGCCATGGCAGATGGTGGGATTTGAATTCAATAAATACCTAGAATTGAGAATCTAACGATGACTGTGAATCCATGTTGATTGTCATGGGAAAAACCCATCTGGTTCACTAATGCCATTTAGGGAAGTAAACTGAGATCAGGAGCTGAGTGGCCCTGGTGGAACCCAAACCGGGCGTCACTGAACAGGTTACTGTTGAGCAAATGCTGCTTGATAACACTGTTGATGACACCTTCCATCACTTTACTGATGATCAAGAGTACACTGATTGGGCAATAATTGGCCGGATTGGATTTGTCCTGCTTTTTGTGTACAGAACATACCTGGACAATTTTACACATTGTTGGGTAGATGCCCTTGTCATTGCTGTACTCGTGTGGCTTGGCTAGGCGAACAGCAAGTTCTGGAGCAGAGGTACTATTGTTGGAGTGTTGTCAGGACCCATGGAATTTGTAGTATCCAGTGTTGCCAATCGCTTCTTGATATCACACAGAGTGAATCAAATTGGCAGAAGACTGGCATCTATGATGCTGGGGATATCTGTAGGAGACTGAGATAGATCACCCACTTGGCACTTCTGGCTGAAGATTGCTGCAGCTTCAGCCTTATCTTTTGCACTGAAGTACAGGACTCTCCCATTAGTGAGGATGTGGATATTTGTGGAGCCTCCTCCTCCAGTGAGTTAGTTGTCCAACACCATTCAGGACTGGATGTGGCAGGACTGCAGAACTTAGATCTGATCCATTGGTTGTGGGATCATTTAGCTCCGTCTATCACTTGTTGCTTATGCTATTTAATATGCAAGTAGTCCTGTTTAGTAGCTTCACCAAGTTCTTTACCTCATTTTTAGGTATGCCTAGTGCTGCTCTTGGTATGCCTTCTGCAATCTTGAATCGGGGTTGATCCCCTGACTTGATGGTCATGGTTGAGTGGGGTGTAGTCTGGGCCATGAGCTTGCAGATTGTGTTGAAGTTCGATTTTGCTGCTGCTGATGACCCACAGTACCTCATGGATGCCCAGCCTTGAGCTGCTATACCTGCTCGAAGTTTATCCCATTTATTATGGTGGTAGTGCCCCACAACATGATGGAGGGTATTCTCAATGTGAAGGCAGGACTTCATCTCCACAAGGACTATGTGGTTGTCACTCTTACCAATACTGTCATGGATAGATGCATTTGCGGCAGACAGATTGGTCAGCATACTGAAGCACAGTGACTCCAATATTTAAGAAAAGAGCAAGGGAACAAACAGGGAACTACCATTCTGTTAGCCTCATGCCAATAGTAGGAAAAATGCTAGAATCTATCATAAAAGACATGATAAATGTACACTTGGATAATCGTGATCTGTTTGGATATAGTCAGCATGGATTTGTGAATGGGAAATCATGTTTGACAAATGAGTTTTAGTTTGTTTAAGGATGTTACAAACAAAATTAATAAAGGGGAGTTGATGGATAGCGGTACATTAGGGTTGTCAGAAGGCTTTTGAAAAAGTCCCCAACAGGAGGTTGGTTAGCAAATTTAAAGCAATGCGGTGGGAGGTAATGTGCTGCAATAGATTAATAATTGGCTAACAGATAATAGGATAAAATGGATCATTCTTACATTGGCAGACTGTGACTAGTGGGGTACCAAAGGATCACTACTTGGGCTCCAGCCATTCAGGGGCATATCAATGATTTGGAGGAGGGACTAAATGTAATATCTCCAATTTGCAGATGATACAAAGTTAAGTGAAAATTTGGAAAAGCACATAGTGATTGGGCAACAACATGGCAGCTGGAATATAATGAGTAAAAATGTGAGGTTATCCATTTGGTCAGAAGAACAGATGTGCAGAATATTTCTTAAATGGTGAGAGGTTGCAAAGTGTAGATGTACAAAGGGAGATAGGTATTCTTGTCGATAAGTCACTGAAGGCTAACATGCAGATGCAGCAAGTTATTAGGAAGGTTAATTGAATATTAGTCTTTACTGCAACAGGGTTTGAGTATGGGAGTAGCGAAGCCTTGTTTCAATTTCAACCTCAGGAAAAATATTATTGCTGTGAAGGGAGTGTAATGAACATTCATCAGACTGGTTCCAGGGATGGTGGGACTGTCCAGTGAAGAGAGATTGGGCAAACTGATCTTATATTCTCAGCAGTTTTGAAGAATGAGGGGTTACCTCATTGAAATTTACAAAATACTTAAAGGGACAGGCAGCATTGATGTTTCCCCTGGTTGGAGAGTCTAGAACCATGGGGCACAATGCAAAAACAAGGAGAATTTTTTTTAAAATTCATTCAAGGGATGAGGATATCACTGGGTAGGCCAGCATTTATTGCCCAGAGGACAGTTGAAAGTCAACCACATTGCTGTGGGTCTGGAGTTACACGTAGGCCAGACCAGGTAAGGATGGTAAATTTCCTTCCAACTGGGAATGGATTCATGATCACCATTAGACTCTTAATTCCAGATTTTTATTCAATTCAAATTCCGCCACCTGCTGCAGTGGGATTCAAACCTGCGAAGCAAAACATTATCTGGGTCTCTGGATTAATAGTCTAGAGACAATACCACTAGGCCATCACCTTCTCTGAGGGCTAAGATAAGGAGAAAACAAAAGGGTGGGGCATCTTTTGAGTTCTATTCTCCAAAGGGCTGTAGAACTCAGTATTTCAGTAAATTTAAAGATTGTTAGATTTCTGATTACCAATGAGATACAGGGATAGTGGATGGAGTGAAGTGTTCAATCAGCCATGATTGTATTAAATGGCAGAGCAGGTTCAATAGGCTGTTCTTATGTTCCTAACCTCTAGCTCTTTGTCTCCTAGCTCCATTGAGATGAACGACAACGTTCCATTAGCTTTTGGGATTGGTTTTTGTACCCGTCCATTAGCTTTTAGTGACTTATGTTACATGAACACTAGAGTCTCCCTGCTCCTCCACAGCATTAATACTTTAAGTTGTTTTTCTTGCATCCAAGTCAGACAACTGCACTTCCCATTTTGAATTCCATTAGTCACAGTTTGCTCCAATCACTTAGTCTATCTCTTGAGTAACCTTCTGTTCCCAGCTGTGTATCTTACTGTTCCTTACAATTTAGTGTTATTTGCAAACTTGGACAAGTAACTGTCCATTCCTTCATCTAAGTCTCTAAGATGTAATGTAAAAAAGAGCTGAAATCCCAATAGACAACCCTGGAAAACAACACGCCCATTCAAAATGATAATTCATTCTTCATCCCTACTCTCTGTCCACTCTCTTCCAAGAAAATTGCCATAAGATTTCCTCCAATGGATTCCAAGATCTTGCAGCAAAATACATCCAATAATAATCTAGTCATGCATCTCAGGCAGTGATCACCTTATCATTAACTGCTCCACTCAAGGAGACCTCAAATTAGGTTTTATGCTCCTCTGTGCAGGACTATGTAACTTTACCATGCCTGTTTCAATCCTTTTACCAACGTCAAGCTGGAAATCATTTGGAGGTAAGTTATCATTTTACACCTGCCCTGCTGACCTGTTGAATTATGTTGTGAGTTATTTATGAGTTATGTTTTATTGTAATTTATTTATTGTCACATATATCTAGGAAGATATAATGAGAAGTGTTTTGTCAGCACAATCCAGCACCATTTTGAGGTGCAAAAAGAATGAAACGAAATTCCATAAATAGAGTTCATCTCCTGTGCAAAAGCTCCTGAAACACAGCTCCAGGGCTTCTGCAAGAAAATTAAACCCCCAGATGGGGCAATATCCTGCGGTAATGGGATGATTGAGTGTTTAAAGCTCATTGTAGGAGGATAAGCAAGAGAAGAAATAATTATCACAGTGTTCCAGTCATTGGAAAGAGGAGGGGCACTTATGAGTTTCTAACAGGCAAGGAGCAAATTGGTTGTAGACTGTGTGAGTTGATACGTACCAGTTTGAAGATTTCCACAGCTGCATGTCTCTCTGCTCCCTCCAGTTGTGTGAGGGGCTGTTGTAGAGGTTGGTCCAATACCTGTAACTGAGGGACCTGCATAAGAACAAAATTCAATTTGATTCAATTTGTTAGAAACTGCAGCAAGTTTATAAACAACATTCTGAGCATGTCAAGAATTGCACTTCATTCTTTATTTGCTTACTTTTCTACATCTATCTGCTTTGGTGGTCTCTGGCAGAAGATTAAGATTACTCATGCCAATTTCAACTGATCTTAGTGCTATCTTAACCCTATGCTCCCTTTGGATATAGCTCCCTCCTGGGACTGTGGCACTAGTGAATTTATCTTCGCTTTGACACTCATTTTAATGAGCTGGTGCAGACACAATGGGCTGAAGGGTCTCCTTCAACACTGTCACATTTCTGCATTTCTGCAACTTGTGGTTCTCTTGTCCCTATTTTAACTGGGAATGGTTACAAACGAAAGATACAGCTTATACACCAGACATGGAAATGATGTGAAATGGATGAAATAACCCTGGCTAGGAGTCAGGAAACTTAGACAGGGTGTTGTGAATGTTAAAAGAGTCATTGCTAATTTATAGGTAAGCAGAGCTCGAGAATAGTATCTGAAGTAAGGAAGATGCTTTTTGTGGCCTTCAGGCAGATCCAATAGATGGATAACAAAAACAGAAATTGCTGGAAAATCTCAGCAGGTTTGGTAGCATCAGTGGGGAGGGAATCAGAGTTAACATTTGGTTCCACTGACCCTTCAGAAAACAGAAAACAGAAAACATGGTCCTACTCCTGCATAAACTATATTCCCTCAGAATTGAAATATGGGTGTGTGTTGGGGGGGGAGGGGAGGTGGTGGGTAGAAATGAGGGTTTAGAAATGGCTCATGCTCTTCCTATGCTTGTCTTGGGGAGTTTGGAAAAATGAGTTTTCTATTTTTGCCTCCTTCAAGAGTTAATATTGCAGTCAATGGTACATAGCATTGACGAATGAAGTGTACAAACCTTTTCTTTTTGGACACTGAATTAGACTGGATTCATACTGTCATTAATTAATTCACAGGATGTGGGAGTCATGTGCAAAACCAGCATTGATACTCGCCCTAAGTTGCTGAGAGATGCAGGACTGGAGCTGCCTTCTTAAAGAGAACAGAAATTCCTTGCAAGGCAATTTCAGAGAGAGGCATCAACAATTGGGTGCATTGACTATGTTATAAAATTGTAACAAAATGCGAGATGTTCAGTTGACTTGTGGCCCTGCGGAGCAAATGTTCATAGGGTGAGAATTACCGACAAAATGATCATACATTTCAATCCCACTCAGTTGTTGCTGCCAGTACTGGAAACCTGCAAACCTGTCTGCACCTGTCCAGTGTTCTCACACCTTTCCATCAATTCTGTTCTCCACTACTACAATTTTTTCTCCCTCTCTTCCTCTTTATTCATTCACAGCATGGATTGAATACACGTTAAAGCTCCCTCTATTCTTTTGAACTCAAAGTAAAGCCACCCCCACTCTTGCTGAAAGTAAATCTTCCTGTACACTATCCCCATCAAACACTCTCAGGACACAAACAGCACAGGGTTAATTTCAGAGTATAGCTCCCTCCACATAGTCCCCATCCAACAATCCCAAGACAGGTAAAGCGTGGGTTTAGAAACGGAGTAAAGCTGCCTCAACCTCCTGCCTCTTGGGGTGACACAGTGGCACAGTGGCTAGCACTGCTGCCTCATAGCACCAGGGACCTGGGTTCAATTTCAGCCTTGGGTGACTGTCTGTGTGGAGTTTGCACATTCTCCCCATGTCTGCATGGGTTTGCTCCAGTTTCTTCCCACAGTCCAAAGCTGTTTTTTGCCTGTAATGTTCAGGGAGGTGTAGATTAGGTGGGTTACAGGGGGATGGGTCTGGGTGGGACGCTCTGAGGTTTGGTGTGGACTTGTTTGGCTGAAGGGCCTGTTTCCACACTGTGGGGATTCCATGATTCTAAACCCTGTCCCAACAACATTCCTTAACTCCAATACTATGAGAACATCATCACAACTATTCGATAGTTGTAATCCTGGTTACACTGGCTGCCATGTTCATTTTTGTACAAAGTATATTAGTAACTGGTTTGCGTCTCACCAGCAGGATGTGATCATTAAAGTACCCAATCACTGTGTTAAACATTCCACAGATTCCTTGCCCAGTAATCAAGGTAAACGTTTACTACTCAAGGAATCTATGCCCGATCATAAACAGAATATTACAACCACTTTTATAGATCTTATTGAATTGTAGATAGTACATTAGCTTACACAGTCATTCTAGCGCAAAACGAGGTCGCTTAGCCTATCAAATCACACCTGCTCCCCCCAACCCCCCACCCCTGCTATTCTCCTGCAAAACGGAAACTTTGGATATGTAGTCGTACAGCACAGAAACTCTGGGGAGCGAGGAGGCGTCTTGGCTCCCACTTGTAATGCATTAGGAGAGAGCTGTTTGTTGTAATCATTTGTTCACGTTCAACTTTTCATTACACTTTCGTCCCATAACTGTGGATCTTCTTTGAAATAGTTCCACAGAGGCCAGTATCCCGTCACCAAGTCACCCTTTATTTATACGTGGAGAGTCTTTGACACTGATCCAGCTTCCTCAGAGCAGAACCTCTGACACTCTTGTTTAAATCTATCAGCCAGGGCTCCCTGAACGGGACTGTTAATCTGGTTATATTCCATGAGGTCCACCTGGCTGACCTTAGTATAATCACTACATTCCTCCCGCTCTGAGTCTGAGCACGTAGGCCTGTTTGTTTTTTTGTAGCTCCTCCTGGGGCGATTTAGCACTGGGTCAGGTTCCTCCAACTCTGCCTCTGATACTAGCCGTGTGTAATGCATTGTAGCTCGCCTCTTGCTCCTGGAGGGTCTCGGGTGAAATTCATTCTCCTCTTCAACGTTTGATGGAGAGGGAGAACACATGGGTGCAGGAACAGTTGGAACAGTCAGAAAGGCAGTTAAGGAGCTGGGCACGGTCCAGGAAGATGAGACACCATCTGGTGCGGAGTCTTCTCCCCATTAGCAACTCTGCTGGAGCTATCCTGTGGTTGCACAAAGGGTGATCCTATAATCAAATAGGAACTGGGACAGTTTGGTAACTAGTGAAGCTGTAGGCTGTTTCATTAAACCTGCCTTCAAAGTTTGGACTGCTCTTTCAGCCAGACCATTGGATGATGGATGGTATGGAACTGTTCTTATATAATGAATACCATCCAACCTCAGGGAATACTCAAACTCCCTGTTGATAAACAATGGCCATTATCAGTGATCAACACTTCCGGGAGTCTGCGTATCACCAAAAGATGCACGCAGTTTTTCTATCATCATCCTCATGTTTGTTGAATGAACCCTCTGCACATACAACCATTTTGAGTGGGTGTCCACAATGTCTAAGAACATTGGGCTCATGAAAAGATCTGCATAGTAGACATGTAATCAAGTCCAGGGTTGACCCGGCTAATCCCACAAATGTGGGGGAGCTGCTGGTGGTAATTTTAGTCCTTGTTGGCACTCTGGGCACTGCCCCAACAACACAGCTGTGTCTGCATCCAATCCTGGCCATCAGACATAATTTCTTGCCAACATCTTCATTTTGGAAACCCTGGATGACCATTGAGGACCATCTGGCAGTGACATTTACTCGGGACAATCACTCTTGCTCCCCATAACACTACGCCATTCTCTACTGTGATCTGGCCACTCCGGGTCCAAAAAGGTTTCAATTCTGGGTTGTGATAGAACATAGAACAGTACAGCACAGAAACGGACCCTTCAGTCAAATTAAACCAATCCCTTCTTCCTGTCCTTGGTTCAAATCCCTCCATTCCTTGCATATTCAATGTGCTTATCTAAAAGTCCCTTAACCGTCCCTGTCATATTTGCCTCCACCACCAACCCTGGCAGTGTGTTCCAGACTCCTACCATTCTCTGTGTAAAAAACTTGCCCCTCACGTCTCCTTTGAACTTGCCCCCTCTCACCTTAAATGCAGGCCGCCTGGCATTAGACATTTTGACTCTGGGAGAAAGATTCTGACTGTCAACACTATCATGACATCCTGATTCTTATATTCAATTCCCTGACCAATAAAGTTAAGCATGCCATACACTTCTTTATCACCCTATCTACTTGTATGGCCACTTTCAGGGAGCCTTGAACTTGAACCCCAAGATCCCTCTGTACATTAGTGCCGTTCAGGGTCCTGCCGTTAATTTTTCCTTAACATTTGAACTCCCAAAGTGCAGCACCTCACACTTGCCTGGATTAAACTCCATCTGCCATTTTTCCACCCATATCTACAACTGATCAATATCCCGCTGTATCCTTTGACAATCTTCTAAACTATCCACAATTCCACTGATCTTTGTATCGTCTGCAAACTTACTAACCCACCCATCTATGTTTTCATCTAAGTCATCTATAAATATCACAAACAGCAGAGGTCCCAGTACAGATCCTTGCAGAACATCACTAGTTATGGACCTCCAGCCAGAAAAACACCCTTCCACCACTACTCTCTGCCTTCTATGGGCAAACCAATTCTGAATCCACACAGCCAAATCACTGTGGATCCCATGCAGTTTAATGTTTTGGACGTGCCTACCATGAGAGACCTTGTCAAAAGCCTAACTAAAATCGATGCAAACAACATCCACTTCTTGAACAGAGAGATAACATTAGCTACTCACCAGTCCTTTGGAATCTCTCCAATGGCTAACCAGGATACAAAAATCTTGTTCAAGGCCCTAGCAATCTCCTCTCTTGCCTCTCTCAATAACGTGGGGTAGGTACCGCCGGCCCCTGGGGACTTATCCACCTTAATGCTCTTCAAGAGACCCAACCCCACTTCTTTCTTGATCTCAAAATGCACTAGCATATTAGCATGCTCCACACAAATCTCATTATCTTCCATTTCCTTTTCCTGGGCGAATACAGATGCAGAGTACTCACTTGGGATCTCACCCATATCCTCTGCCTTCAAGCACAAGTTCCCTCCTTTATCCTTGAGTGGTCCTACCTTCTCTTTAGTTATTCTCTTATTTTTAATATATGTATAGAATACCTTGGGATTCTCTTTAACCCAACTTGCCAAGGTAATTTCATGGCCCTGTCTTATTCTCCTAATTCCCTGCTTGAGTTCTTTCCTGTTTTCCTTATATTTCTGACAGGCCGTATCCAAATTTAGCTTCCCAAACCTTACACATGCTTCTTTTTCCCTTTTGACTAAATTCACAACCTCCCTCATTGTCCAAGGGTCCCTTGCCTTGCCATCCTTGTCCTTCCTCCTTACTGGAACATGGCGGTCTTGAACTCTCATCAACAGGTCTTTAAACAACTCCAACATGTCAAATGTAAACTTGCCTGATAACAGCTCCTCCCAATTAATATCCCAAGCTCCTGCCTAATACTGAAGTAATTTGTTCCCTCCTCCACTGCACCCTCCCCCCCCAGCTTTTAGCACCTTCTTGTAAGCTCCTGACTTATCCTTATTCATATCTATCTTAAAACATAACAAATTGTGATCACTGTTTCCCGAATGCTCTCCCACTGAAAGGTCAGCCACTTGGCCAGGCTCATTAGCGAATACAAGGCCCAGTATGGCCCTTCCTCTAGTTGGACTATTCAGATTCTGTTTCAACAAGCCCTCTTGGGCGCACTTAACAAACTCTGCCCCGTCTAAGCCTCTTGCTCTAAGGGAGTCCCAGTCAATATTAGGGAAGTTAAAGTCACCTGCTATGACAACCCTGTCAGAGTGTTTGCACCCATGTTATCTTTGAGCTGTACCCATATTGTCTCAGTGATGAGCTCTCTAATATATCCTGTCTGAGTGCAGATGTAACATTGTCTCTAATTAGTAATGCTACTGCTCCACCTCTTTTACATTCTTCTCTATCTCGTCTAAAACATTGAAGCCCTGGAACGTTGAGCAGCCAGTCCTGTCCTTCTCTCAACCAAGTCTTTGTAATGGCCACAACAGCATAGTCCCATGTACTGATCTAGGCTCTAAGCTCATCTCCTTTATCTATAATACACATTGCATTGAAATAAACACACTTCAGCCCATTAGTACCATGATGTTCTATTACCTGTCTCTACCTGTCCTTCCTTTCTGTCCTGCTGGTTCTAACATCTACCTTCCCCTCAATCAGTCCAATTGCTGACCTGCTGCTCTGGTTCCCAGCTCCCTGCCACTCTAGTTTAAACGGTCCTGAGTAGCATTAGCGACGACACTTTTGTTTCACCACCAGCTGTTTTAGTTTTGCCAGCACCAGATCTTTTTGCGACCACAGTCTGATACTGTCAGCAGTGACTGGAAGAGTGTCTAGGAAATTTAAAACCAGAATGGACTGTTTGGCAGCACCCCTGGTGGCGTATCTGCCAGTGGGAAGCATCTCAAAGTATCCACATTTGTTGCTTGGCCTCTGGGACCGTATTTCAACTTGTAATTGTCTGCACTTAGAATGAGAGCCCACCACTGAATTTAATCTGAAGCTACGGGCAGCATGGCCTTGTCTTCTTTAAGTAGCCTAGGAGATTATAGGGATTATAGGGATTGTGGATCCATGGGTTGTAGTTTTCCAAAAATCCTTGGATCCTGGAGAAGTACCAGAGGATTGGTAAACTGCCAATATGACACCCCTATTCAGAAAGGGAGAGAGGCGAAAAACAGGTAACTATAGGCCTATTAGCCTAACATCTATTGTTGGAAAAATGATGGAATCAATTATAAAGAAAGTAATTCCAGCACTATTGGAAAATCTTAATGTAATCAAGCAGACTCAGCATGGTTTCATGAAAGGGAAATCTTGTCTGACTAATTTATTAACGGTTTTTCGAGAAAGTATTGACAGGAATGGATAGGGGAACCAGTAGCTGTGTTGTATTTCGACTTTGAGAACATGTTTGACAAGGTACCTCACAAAAGGCCCACAGTATTGGAGGTGGTATTTTGGTATGGATGGAGAATTGGGCAATGGGCAGGAAACAGCAAATGGGGACAAGAAGTTCTTTTTCAGGTTGGCACCTGTAACTAGTGGAGTTCCACAGGAATCAGTGGTGGTACTGGAACTATCTCTAACATATGTTAATGTACTGTAGCCAAGTTTGCAGATGACTTGAAAATAGGTGGAAAGGCAGGTTGTGAGAGGGATACAGTTTATAGAGAGATATTGATAGGGTAAGTAAGTCGGCAAAAAGTTGGCAAATGGAGTATAACGTCAAGCTGTCATTTTGAAGGGAGAACAAAAGAACAGAATTACTTAAATGGAGAAAAACTGCAGAAGGCTGTAACACAAAGGGACTTCGGGGTACTTGTGCACAAAACACAAAAAACTAAGACACAAATACAGCAGGTAATCAGGAAGGCTAATGGAAGGTTGGCCCTTATTTCAAAAGGCTTGGACAATAAAAGTAGGGAAGTCTTACTGTAACTGTACAAGGTTCTGGTGAGACCACAGTTGGAGTATTGTGAGGCTTCGCAGTGGGGTTAAAATTGTTACAGAGATGGTAGGAACTGCCGATGCTTGGTCTCGACCCGAAACGTCAGCTTTCCTGCTCCTTTGATGCTGCTTGGCCTGCTGTGTTCATCCAGCTCTACACCTTGTTATCTTGGAGTATTGTGAGCAGTTTTGGGCCCTTTATTTAAGGAAGGATTGGAAGTTCAGAAGGTTCACTAGGATGACTCCTGGTATGGAGGGATTATCTTATGACCAAAGGCTAAACAGATTGGGACTCTACTCACTTGAGTTCAGAAGAATGAGAGTTGATCTTACTGAAACATATAGGATTCTTAAGGGCTGACAGGGTTAGATTTGAGAGGATGTTTCCCCTCACGAGAAAGTCTAGGACCAGAAGACATAGTTTCAGAATGAAGGGTTGCTCATTTAAGACTGAGATGAGGGGGAATTTCTTCCCTCAGATGGGGGCAGAGTGCTTGTGTATATATAAGGCTGAGATAGATAGATTCTTGATCAATAGAGGAATCAAGGGTGACATGGAAAAAGCAGGAGAGTGGATCTGAGGAATGTCGGGTTAGCCATGTTCCTACTGAGTGGTGGGCAGGCTCCTGTTTCTACTTCTAATGTTCTTAAGTCCAATCTGTGAAGCAATCCGTTCACTTGCAAACCTGGTTCCTAATTCATGACCCAATGCCTTCACCATACAGATTACTGTGCCTCTAAATAATTTAACATTCATAGTATACAGTTCAATCTGTATTGCATTAATCACACTAGCTAGCCTGAATCTATCTCAAATGTATTTAATAGTAGCTTATCATTTAATGGACATTTTTCTTTGACCTCCGGCCTACAGGTCTCTGTCAGAACCTTAGTTCAATCTGACTATTAACATTATAGACAGTGCTGTGTTAAATGTGTTTTTCATCTCTGGTAAGCTCAAAATATTCTATCCTGCACATTATCTATCTCCATGTATCCTGATTTGGTTGCAGTCTTTTACTGCAGAATCTCTTGCCCATGACCTGAAGAACATAAGAAAAAAAGAAATAGGAGCAGGGTAGGCCATTTAGCCCCTCGAGCCTGCCTCCGAATTCAGACATCACAAGTCCAATGTCAGGACCAACTGGACACCCTGACCCCATGTGTGCTGGTGGTTTTACTCCAAATTAGCTTGCTTGGGTTGGTTTCTGATGCTGGTGATCCAATCAGAAGGCTAGCAGTTCTGAAGCTTAGCAGCACCATTAGACGAGGTAATACTACAGAGGCAGCAGGACAAGGTCAGGGGCACTGGAGAGTAAAGACACCCTTTGAATATCACCAAATCAGGATGGCTGAGCGTAGAAGGCCTGGCTGATTCTGACCCCACTCGAAATGCGTCTGCTTCCTCTCTGTGTCTTCTTACTCTACCTTAAAGTGCTGATTGATGAATTTACTGAAAGGGTAGTTGTTGACATCTGCAGGAAGAGAGTTGTTGATGATGGCCTTAGCCTGTGGTGGGGACACCTCAGCAACCTGATTCTCAAAGGCAGGTGGCTGTCCTGGAAAGCAATGGGAAAAGTTAATGAGTATTAATGATCAAAGTACCACAATGAAATCAGCTATTCTCAATCTGAATACACAGTGAAATCAGCTATTCTCAATCTGAATACACAGGATCATTGCCAGCCATTACAGATTGTGATAGGGTCATCCTATCACATATTGTTCTTTGAGTTATCTGCCAATTCATTGTGCGGTATTCAAGAAGTGTAAATTGTCTTTGTTTCTGATGGCGCTGTGTTCTTATTGCCCTGTCATTACACACATTATCTCACACAGGTAACTCCAAAAGGAATGTGTGGTCAGATGAGCCGATCACGACCTGTGAGAACTGCAAAGCACCTTCTAGTTAAAGGACTGTGATGAAGTGCTGACCCTGTTATAAAGTAGGAAACTTAGTAACCAGTTTATACACAGCAGGCACACCACAAACAGAAATGTAATAAAAAGATAAACAGTTCTGGTTATGTTAATTGAGGGTTGGATATTAACCAGGACACTGAGGAAAACTGCTTAGCTCTTCAAAATAACCAGCAGTGTAGCACTCCCTCAGTACTGACCCTCCGACACTGCAGCACTCCCTCAGTACTGACCCTCCGACAATGCAGCTCTCCCTCAGTACTGACCCTCTGTCAGTGCGGCACTCCCTCAGTACTGGCCCTCCGACAATGCAACTCTCCCTCAGTACTGACCCTCTGTCAGTGCGGCACTCCCTCAGTACTGACCCTTCAACAGTGCAGCATTCCCTCAGTACTGACCCTCTGACAGTCTGGTACTCCCTCAGCACTGACCCTCTAACAGTGCTGCACTCCCTCAGCACTGACCTTCTGTCAGTGCGGCACTCCCTCAGTACTGACCCTTCGACAGTGCAGCACTCTCTCAGTACTGACCCTCAGACAGTGCAGCAATGCCTCAGCACTGACCCTCCGACAATGCAGCTCTCCCTCAGCACTGACCCTCTGACAGTGCGGCACTCCCTCAGTACTGACCCTCTGACAGTGCGGCACTCCCTCAGTACTGACCCTCCGACAGTGCGGCACTCCCTCAGTACTGACCCTCCGACAGTGCTGCACTCCCTCAGCACTGACCCTCTGACAGTGCAGCATTCCCTCAGCACTGACTCTTCAATAGTGCAGCACTCTTTCAGTACTGACCTTCTGACAGTGTGGCACTCCCTCAGTACTGACCCTCCGAAAGTGCTGCACTCCCTCAGTACTGATCCTCTAACAGTGCTGCACTCCCTCAGTACTGACTCTCTAACAGTGCAGCACTCTTTCAGTATTGACCTTCTGGCAGTGCAGTGATGTCTCAGTGTTGACTCTCTGACACTGCAGCAATCCTCAGTACTGACCCACTGAAGTGTTAACTGTGATTTTTATGCTTCAGGCTGTGTAAGTTTAGGGTGTGTAATAGGCTAATGAAATTTCTGTATACTTTTTGTCTAAGAGCACAACTTGGTCTAAAGCACAAAAGTTCCAAACACAGGACATTTCATATCCCAAATACAGGAGAGTTCACACTCCAAAGAAGGTAAAGAAGGTGTAAGGCACGCTTGCTTTTATTTTGAGGAAATTCAGTACAAAGGTCAGGATGTCATGTTGCAGCTTTATAAGACCTTTGTTCGGCTACTAGATATTGCATTCAATTCTGGTCGCCACATTACAGGGATGCTTTGGACAGGGCGCAGAAGGTTTACCAGGATGCTGCCTGGTATGGGCTAGAAGGATAGGCTGGAAATTTCTGATTGTTTTCTCTGGAGTGGTGGAGGCTGAGGGGAGACTTGATAGGAATCTATGAAATTATGAGATGCATAGATAGGGTTGAAATGTTTAATACTAGGGGGCATACATTTAAAGTGAGAGGGGGAAAGTTCAAAGGAGATGTGAGGGGTGAATTTTTTACACAGAGAGAGTGGTAGGAGTCTGGAACACGCTGCCACGGGTGGTGTTGGAGGCAGATATAATCGGGATGTTTAAGGGACTTTTAGATAAAAGCATGAAGATGCAAGGAATGGAGGGATATGAACTAAGGGCAGGCAGAAGGGATTAGTTTAATTTCGTACCACGTTCAGCACAACGTCGTAGGCCGAAGGGCCTGTTCCTGTGCCGTACTGTTCTATGTTCTATTTACTAAATTCAGGACATTTTATACCCCAAATACAGAACATTTCATACCCAAAATACAGGACATTTCACCCCCCAAATACCAGAAATTTCACACCCCAAAAACAGGTCAGTTCACACCCCAAATACAGGACATTCCTCCCTTATATATATGACATTTCACTCTCCAAATCCAGGTCATTTCACACAATAATTACAGGACACTGCATACTCCAAACACGGAACATTCTACACCCCAAATAGAAGACATTCCACACACCTAATAAAGGATACTTCACACCCCGAATCCAAGATATTACACAACCCAAATCTGGACACTCATTGTACACCCCAAATACCAGACATTTCACACCCCAAATCCAGCATGCTTCACACAAAACACAGGAAACTCTACATCCCAGATACAAAACTTTCTACACCCCAAACACAGAACATTCTACACCTCAAATACAAGACTTTCCATATCCTGAATTGCTCAGTTGGCTGGATGGCTGGTTTGCAAAAAAGAGTAATGATATCAAAGAAAAACCAGAAATGAGCTAATCAACTCCAATAGACCCCAGAGTTTAAATATCAAGTGGGAAAACACAACAGCACTTCATCGGAGGCTGCGCTGATGATGTTACCCAGCAGGGTAATGAAACGTCTGTAAATTAATGAACCAGCTCGGCAAGCCAACCAACCACAGTAATGACAACAGTTTGGGTTCAATTCCCTAACCTGCTGAGGTTACTATAAATAACTCTCCTTGTCACCCTTTCCCCTCACCTGAGGCATGGTGACCCTTAGGTTAAACCACCACTGACTGTCTCTCTCTAATGAGACAGCAGCCCTAGGTTCCTAGAGGACTTGAGCAACTTTTACAAGACTTTCTGCACCTCAAATATTGACCATTTCACAAAGACTCTGTGAGACCTACAGTAGTGCATTTGATGCTGAAATGGCTAAACTAGCCATTCACTTTATCAAACTCCGAACAAAAGTTAAAATTATAAAAAAGTCAGACATACTACCTGGCATCGATCCTAGACACCAGAAACAACAAGGGCAGACCCAGCCCAGCTACAGAATCCCTTTGCCCTGACATTATAAGTTGTGCCACTATTCAGAGAACCATCATCTTCACTAAACCATGCCTACAGCCAGCTTTGGCTCAGGCTGCTCATCTGACAGACCCAGCAGAGGATTTAGCACAGTGGTAAACATTCAGGTGGGAGTTGTCCTCTAAGTCTCCAACAGTACTCTGGACCTCATAAAGCCTCATGCACCAGGTCAAACATGGTCAATGAAATACAGAAGTTGCTGGAAAAACTCAGCAGGTCTGGCAGCATCTGTGAAGAAAAAAATCAGAGTTAACATTTTGGGTCCGGTGACCTTTCCTCAGAGTGGTCAATGATCTCCTGCTGATTATCACCTTCTGTGATACAGCCTACCAAGTGATACATTATATGTCTAGTGTGTTCACATTTATAGCATTATGATGACAGTACATTGAACACAAAAAAGCAGTTGTCCAGCTCGTTAATGGACGCTAAAGGTTGAAAGGATGACATCATCATCAAAGTTACGAAAATCCTTTTTCCTAACAATCAGCCATCAGTTTGTTCAAGTTCAGAGCTGAACTTACATCTACACTCAAAACCAAAGGCTATAAACTTGTACTGAAGCACAGTGGTGTACTCTAACTCTCTGAACCAACATCCCTGTCTCAGACTTGCTGCAGTGTTTCAGTGAATTCAGTGTAAGCTGGAAGAACAACACCTTATTTTTCACTTGGGGACCCCGCAGACTTCTGGGCTAAATATTGAGTTCTGCTCATAGTCTGTTTTACACACAACCCATTGTTAGCCACTACCAGTCTCCATTAACAGCTATTCACCTTCCTGGCCAGATTGTTATCCATTCCTTTGTCTGTTCAACAGTTCTTCTCTCTCTTTGGGCTCTATTCCAACCATCGTTTACTCCTTACTTTCTCCCCCCCCATCCTATCTTCTGCATAAACACTGACCTTTTCATAACTACCATCAGTTCTGAGGAAGGGTCACCAGTCCCGAAATGTTAACTCTGATTTCTCTTCACGGATGCTACCAGACCTGCTGAGCTTTTCCAGCAATTTCTGTTTTTGACTCTATCTCTCTCTTTCTTTAAGGAAAGAAAACTTGGTAGGCTGTTTTAAGTGGTCCTGAAAGCTCTAAAGCACTCCTAGAAGAAATTACAGCTTCAAACCACTGTAAAAATGTTTTCTACACTAAAGCCATATAAATTGTTAGTTTTGTAAATTAATTTCCAAAATATCTTACTCAAAAGAAACCTACTATTCGTGGTATATGTTACATGAACTAATGTATCTATGAAACCACAAACAGCATCATTCCTCAACTCTATTCCACCATCCTATTTACAATTAAGGGTCACCTGTGGTATTAGGGGATACCTGACATGAAAAATAACAGAATGATTTGGAAACACATAAAATGGGCAGATACGTGATGGAGATAGTAGGAACTGCCGATGCTGGAGAATCTGAGACAACAAGGTGTAGAGCTGGATGAACACAGCAGGCCAAGCAGCATCAGAGGAGCAGGAAAGCTGACGTTTCAGGTCTAGACCCTTCTTCAGAAATTCTTCTTTCTGAAGAAGTGTCTAGCCTCGAAGTGTCTAGACCCGAAATGTCAGCTTTCCTGCTCCTCTGATGCTGCTTGGCCTGCCATGCTCATCCAGCTCTACACCTTGTTATCTCAGATACGTGATGGATGCAGTTTAAACCAGAAAAGTGTAAAGTGATGAACTTTGGAATGAGGAGAGATGAGATAAACTTTTTTTTTCAGAAAGTGCAAGAACAGAGACACTTTGGGCTTTACATATATGTATTTTAA